GGAAAATAGAACTTCTGGACTGCTCCATGAAAAGTGTAAAGTTGTATCCAGGAGTTGACCTCTTTTTAACACCTTTTACTAGATAAATGCATTTTTTCTGTATGAAGAAATGTAGCATTGCAACAGGCAGGGTGTTTTAGAGCGGGAAAAAGGGGAATTGTTACAGGGAAGGCCCTTTGGAAACCTGAACTTTCCTGTAACTAAAATGAACCTCGGAGAATCTGGTTCCAGGCTGGCCTTGATCATAAACCCATCAAAGGGGGCAGATGACAAACATTTGCATCTTAACAAGAAAGACATGGTCAGGTTTATTTTTATAAGCAAAGTTTTACATAAGAACATTTTAAATAGAGGTATTATTCCAAATACATATTTTACATAATAACATAATACTTTAAATCACAATTTAACTAGACACAAAAGTATTTGTGCAAAAGGGAAAAAAGTGCACAGATTGCCTTTGCAGCCTCCATGGATTTCCATGTTTTCATTAATTTCTAGCAGACACGTCAAGGAAAGAATTCCTTGAGTTTTCAGAGAAGTCCCCACTGCCAATAACAACAATAAAATAAGATGAAAAATAAAACAAACCAGGCAAATTTGAAAGAAACCCACAAGCATTCTGAAAAGGAGACAGAATAATTTCTTTATTTACAATGGTCAAACAGTTGATAAATTGTAAGGCAGATTTCAATGCAACATTGAGTTGATCTGCTTTTAACTTAAGAGTTTGACCAGACTAGCAATTTGCCTTTTGCTTCTAACAGTCTTACAGGACTTGTGGAGAAACTGCAGGGGAATCGCAGAGGTCAAGAAGAGAATTAGAATCCTACTTTTCACTTGCACGTATTCTTTTTCTCCAGCACCCTGCTTCCCCCCCCCCTTAAAAATCCTCAGTTCTGAAGATGACAAGCATGTGAAATGTATATTAATGTACACTAATTTTGTAGTCCCTATAAACTAGAAAATCCAATCTCATGGATAAGTCTGTAGTAATCCTCGATTGACAACGATTCTTTCAGCAATTTGAAATTACAGTGATTCTGAATGGGGGGCAATGTTACTATGTCTTTGGAGTTCCCTTCCCAACCAGCACTTCTAGTACATCCTTGTTTTATGATCCCATTACTCAGTGATGGAAATTTTGGTCCCAGTTCCCTAATCCTTTCTCTTCTGATTTAGCAATCAATCTTGCTAAATTTAGACACAGAAAAGGGAGGGTTGGTGATAACTGTCACCCGGACAGGATATATGCTCCCTCACTCCTAACAGAAATGAATATTCTCTATATACCTGACTCCCAAACTGAATTTGAAGTTTCCTACATGTAATTTATGCAAACACGGAAGCCTAAAATTAAAAAAAACAATGTATTTAATTCTATTAAAACAGCCAAAATCCTAGATGTATGCCAAAATCCACAAGATGTCAGTGTTCTACAATGAAATATTTCAGGATTTCAGTTGAGAGCATGCAATGTTTTGGCATTCATATATAAGAACATGTAAAAAGTTACATGTTAAAAATCTTTTAAGACTTTGCAATTCATCTTTTTTAAAAAAAAAGATAGAATCCAAAAATCTAAATCTTTATAACTGATGTCTCTAACTTTTTAGGTACAGTGGAAACCAACTCTTCCATTTCTAACCTTGTCTGAGATAAAATGTTCCCTTCACCTTTTGGGATTCCAGTCAACTCTCCTCTCAAAAATCTTCCCACCCAAAACCTTACAGAATGAGGGTAACTTGGAGTGATGTAAATTTAATGACTTAATCGGAGTTAGTTGGAATATTAATGGCATGAAAGTGAATTTTAAAGCATATGTCTGTTAAGAGGAAGTTTTTAAAAAATGATCTATTAGATTGTTTTGATTTTAGAAATGTTTTGAAAGAAAAGCTTAGTGTTTTACAATGGTTAGGGGGAAAATATTTGAAAGAATACAGTGAATCTTGTTAATATAAATAGTGATAATTCATAAAAAGTATTAAGTTCAGATAGAAATATAGAAATTATTTTCACAGCAAGGAAGATGAAGCAGAAATGGTTAAATTCGTTGTTCTATTGAAAGAGAAGAATATATTTGATTATGTTTTTTATTTGGCTATCACTCCCGGATAAAAACAAAATGTAACTTTGACTTTGGTTATGCTGATTAGATAGATTTGTTGTTATAGAAATGACTACTTTGTATAGTAATGTCTAAAACTAAAAAGACTGTAATGTGGTTATCTTGTACGGTGCTAAAAAGGTCGATGCCTTTTTCTTTCTTCCCTTGTACCTCATCTTTTCTTTCCCTCTCTCTTTGTTCTTCTCTTAATTTCCTATTTTAATTTTTCTTTGTATTTCATATATTGATAAAACAATAAAAGTAAAAAAAAAAAAACCTTGAGTTTCCCTTTCTCTCCTTTTTCCTGCCTCTTCCTCCCTCAGCTCTCTCCTCTTCCCGCCAAAACCTGACAGAAATCCCACCCTTTCCCTGCCTTTTCTTCCCTCAGCCAAAACACAAGGGCTCCCCCACATCACATTAGGCAAACATTAAAACTTTAATTTTCTGATAGTTTATTGATAGTTTTTGTTCTAAGCAGAATAAAGCCAGTGCCCAAACCTCCCAATCCAGGAGGTCACCATGAGAGGGAATGTGATTATGTGATTACATCAGAATCCCCATTAAAGGTGTCACAGAAGTGANAAAAAAAATACATTTGACATTTAAAGAGCCTGCCCACACCTCCTCTAGAATAAAATAATGCCACTGGAAGAGAAGTGATGGAACAGGTACAATCAGTACAGATAAGGCACATTTTATGGAGATTTCCACATGTTAAACTGGGCTATTTCTGGTGCAGAGGACATGTAGTGGAGAACAACGTCCCACTCACTTCACAAATGCCCATTTGTTTCTTTTGTTCATCAGGAAATGTTGGCTTTCATGCCAAGTGCTTGCCTCTCCATGCCTTTTTAAATCTTGATCAATGGTTGTGCTGCTTAGAAAATTCTAATATTGTCAAATCTATCTGACTACTTTGAAGGTGCTAACTTAGAAAGCTATGTACAGTATGTTGTAAATTGTAATTAGTTGTAATTGTAATTTATTGTCTTTCTGAAGATGACATAACTTTATTTGACAAAACATGAGATGCTACTCAGACCCGAAGGCTATTTTTAAAACATCTTGAAATCTAATTTCAATTCAATTCAGAAGATCAATTACATTTTTTTCAGAATCAATAGGGGAAAGGGGACTTTTTAAGTATGTAAAAGCTTTTTACATGTTCAAATCATTTTGCAAGTGCCAGATTCAATTAAACTGTTCAGTTTTTCTTGACTTTCAGATTCTGGTCTGAATCTGATTCAGATTTAATGAAAAGAAGAACTAGGAGTGATATGATATTTAAGAGACTGTCACAGAGAAGAGGGGGTAAATTCATTCTCCAAAGCCACTGAAAGCAGGACAAGAAGCAATGGATGGAAACTAATCAAGGAGAGATCCAACTGACAATTAAACAGTAGAAGAACTTGCCTCCAAAAGTTGTGGGTGCTCCAACATTGGAGGTTTTTAAGAAGAGATTGGACAACCATTGCCTCGAATGGTATAGCATTTCTTGCTTAAGCAGGGGTTTGGACTAGAAGGCCTCCAAGATCCCTTCCAACTCTGTTATTCTGGTATTCTGGTTGGAAAGTTGATTCAATTGCCTTCAAGTTGAAAATTCAAATCACAGGTTTATGCTGTCCCAGTCATGTCTTCCATATGTGCAAAGTATATACAACTTAGACTGAGAGACAGGTGCATCCCGTCTTTGATTCATTTAGTTGACATTATTTTTCTCAGCTTCTGCTTCTTTGTAGTGTGTTAGAAATCCTGTAAGCATACTGAGAAATATAAGTCACCAATTGCAACAATCAAGGCAGCTCTCCATGTCATTCCTCTCAAATTTCAATTCAACTGACATTTCCTAAACATGTACAGGTTGCCTCAGTTTCTTTGATTCCTTTGCACCCCCTGTTGAGCAAAATGAACAGTAAAAAGCACTGCAAAATAGTAGCTTTGTGGTACTCCAAGAAGGTGCATCATAATTCCTTCCAATTTTGGGTGTTTCTTGCAATAGGCAGAACAAGATATAAAATCATGTGGATGGATGTGGAGAAATGTATCAAGTTCGCTTTCTTTTTGCAGTGTTCTTTTTCATGTGCAAAATGAAGGGGGGTGGGAAAAATATGAATGGAGCGAAAACTGAGCAAACAGTGTCACTTCCTCTTCCACACAAAAATACAATGGAAAATCACAGACAGGATCAGTCATTCAAAAGCTTACAAACTCAGCAAAAAAATTAGATGTGGAGGATTTCAGAAGTGGCCTTACTTAAAACACAACTAAAAAATACCCCCCAAAATTCAACAAAATTACCGTATATACTTTTGATTCTGTTCCTTTTTTTCAAATCACACTTCATTTTTGGCTCCTATTGCATCTATCCCGATATTTGCCTAAGTCTCACAACTGACTTTTTAAAACAGTAGCACATTTTTAAAAAAGAACATTGTATTGCTTTATGCAATCCTGCCTCCTAACCTTTCCCATCATTTTAACCCATGAACTACTTGGCTGCTTAATGAAAATGTTATCCTTGAAAGATCTAAACACTTAAGTTTCTTTTAATTGTAATGTAACAAAAAGAAAGTACTTAAAATGACCTCCAAGGAGATCTCAGCCTATTCAAATGCTAATAATGAATTCCTCCTACCATTTAGATTTATCAGATCTTCATGTCTATGTCTGTCTCTATCTCTGTCACTTTCTTTTTAAATACTCAAGAACATATGTGGCTCAATGTTTAATGATTGGGTCCTTGCTTGGTTCTTTTCCTAAAGATGGTTCATGACTCCCTTTATGAGAAGGTTGATCTGCAAAAATCAGTAGAAGAAGCTTTTGACAGCATGAAAGCCTATTGCAGATTACAGCAACTCCTTTAGAGTTATACTCAGGGGTATCCATGGCTTTTTAAATTAAGCTAAAGATTACATGTAGCCTTAGGAAATAGGAGCAGAATCTGGTGGAAAAAGTTGGCAGAATACATTGAAAAATCCTTGAGCAATAAACCATAGGCACTGGAGTTCTTGAGTCTCATCTCTGCTTCTTTGTTTGCACAGGTAGAGAGAAGGTTCAAAGAGATCAGCCTTTGCTTATGTCAAAGAATCTGGTGGCATCATGCAAGACTCAGTCATTTTGTAATCCAAGAGAATAAAGTGATAAATTCAGTAGGCAGGACAGTTTCTGTTTCCACTTGCTTCAAGCATCAAAAAAATATTTCCTTAGTTTTGATTTGGTCCACAGTTGGCAGTGATGGGTGTTTAAATCTCCTATGGAGGCATTTTTTTTTCTTCTATGCATCTTTTGGCTCAGTTCACAATTCACAAAATCATCCCAACTGTACTAGGATCTCCCTATTTGATATCCAAGGATATAATGGAAGAACTCTGAAGATATTCCTATCAGTTCCCATTCTTACTACAGTTAAAAAGAATTTCCCCACTGCAGAGGAAGCATTAGACTTGTGGAAGGAAATCACCATTCAGTTGTCCTTTGCAGATATGGAAACTGAGAAAATGGAAAAGGTTTTCTTTGAAATCAGAGAATTTTCATTGTTTCTGATTTTTGTTTTGTTTCATACCCTCAGATTATTTAGTGGGTTTCAGCGCCTGCAAACAATAGCAAAGAAATATTGAAATCAAATGACTGAAAGCAAAGCATTATAAATAGATTCATGTCATCAGTCCTAAAGATGGAAAACAAAGCAGAGTTGAATAGGGAAGGAAGCAATAAATAGATAGGAGTCCTGTAGATTTTACTAGACTAGTCATTGCCAATAATAGGGGGCAGCACTCATCTCTCTTTCAAGGCAGTGATGTCCAAAGACACTTCCATGGTCATGTGGCCAGCATGACTATAAGCTGAGGTGCATGGAATGCTGTTATCTTCCCACCAAAGTGGTACCTATTTATCTACTTGTACTGACATGCATTTTAACTGCTAGGTTGGTAGGAGCTGGGCAAGGATGAGCTATCACCCTATATGTGGCACTTCGATCTCGAACCTGGGCTGCCAGCTTTCCAGCCAATACACCCTACATCTTAACCACTGTGCCACAATAAATAGATAAAGAAGATACATTTTCACCATCCAAAATAAGCTTTGCTTTTGTTGTTCTGATTTTTCTTGAAAAAATATACCATATGATTATGATAGCTTCATGCTTTTTTGGAGGGAGGGGGGAAATCACTGGGAGAAGTTATACCCAACAGGGCCAATATGCACCTAACCATCCAAGTTTCCAAGGTGCTTTATTTTAGGAATTAACAGCCAACAAAGGACTAGTATATCTAGTTCCATTTGTCCACAGATAACTTCTTCATTCCCCAAAGGCAGTTTCTCTAAACTAAATTAGTTGACCTTGGAAACGTTAGCTTAGATGACACAATTCCCCCTGTACCATTCTTCTCAATGATCTCTATATCAAATATCATATTTTGCCATTTCCAATAATGACATTTTTCTACCCAAATGTAATCTTGTCACATTAGAATAAAGTGTAGCCTCTTGATCTTTCTACCTCTACTGGTTAAAAAGTCATAACTCTTTTAACATCTTTATCATTTTTGTATTTTCATAGTGTACCTGCCTCTTACCTGGGGTGGAGGGGGAGGAGGAGCTGGTTCAGACTGAAGGTGAGAAGAAGGAGCTGGATTTATTCTTTTTGTCTGTAAGAGAAATGCCGGATTATTTCTGTTAAATATTAATCAGCCATTTAGTATATGTTGAGTATATTATTGCTAAACTGCAATTTGCAAATAGTCAAGAGTCCCTGGTTGACTCAGTAGTTTATAACCGTAACAAGTAAACAAATAAGATATAAAAGAATGTTTACATCAAATTACTGTTGCTCACTTACTTTACACTTGCCTGCACCAGGTTTGTATGGAAAGAACTTTCAAGGATAAAATCTGGAAAGTGAGTATTTCTGGGCCCCCTAAATTTTTACATGAAGTAAGGGAGTATTTTATTAATGGAACATGTNATTTGTCTGGGATGGTCTGTTTTTGGCAAGCCCGTGCTGGATTCTATTAATTGTGAAGGTAACTAGAGAGCCAGCTGAAGAGATGCAATGATAGAGAAGGTTGAAGTTATAGGAACTTTGGCAGAGAGTGACCATGTCATATTGGAATTCAACATAATGCAGGGACAAATAATTGAATAGAGCTGCTGAGTTCAAAGAAAAGAAAAAGTGTATGCTTGCCACCTATGAACAACAATCTAGTCAGCTTATGGTCAATGGTACACAGACATTAGAATAGGGTCAATGAAATTTGCAGAGGCTGGACTTGAATCTATTATGGCAACATATTGACTCCAAACTGGTGACATATTTAACTCCACCTTCAAGACAGTATTATGAGAACCAGTGAGCAATTTTTTGCTCTATTTGAGGAGCTTCTCCTACTCTAAAACAGCAGCAGAAGTGGAGGGATGAAACTCTGGAAAGCGAACTTGTCTAATACCTATTCTTAACTACCCCGCCCTCAAATAATTCAGCCTGAAATGCTGAAATCTGCCAATGTTCTCATTGGCTTATAGCAGTGGGCAAACTTGAGTTTTGAAGATAGGAATGGGAGTAGCTTACATTCAAGAAGCTTTTTTATCCCATTCTCACTTTTAAGAAAAGAACAAATATAGAAATAAGAACCAACTACAGAAATCAGTCATCTCTGCATATTTCCAGTGATGTCATGTGCAACGGGGTGATTAATACCTTCACCTATGTCTTACCCCTTTGGAAATTTCCCTGTCTCTTTTCTGGTCCAAAGGATCAGGTGTACAATTGTCGCTGTCATCTTTATCAGTTAACACGGACAGGAAATATGACCAGAAAAGCTAATTCTGTATCATTGTAAAGCTGCATTATCAGAATTTAGATTAAATAAATCTTTATATTTGCAAGAATCTTGCAAATGTGCAAGTACAAATCTCCCATTGTCTCTTTTACAGTCTAAGAAACTAGGAAGGGTCCCTTGCTTCAGATATTATGCAACTTTGGGTTATGTTTTACTCAGGGGTGAAATTCAGCAGGTTCTGACAGGCTCTGGAGAACTGGTAGTGGAAATTTTGAGTAGTTCAAAGAACCGGAAAATACCACCTCTGGCTGGCCCCAGATTGGGGTGGGAATGGGGATTTTGCAGTATCCTTTCCCTGGAGTGGGAAGGAAATGGAAATTTTGCAGTATCCTTCCCCCATCATGCCCACCAAGCCACGCCCACAGAATTGGTAGTAAAAAAATAGAATTTCACCACTGGTTTTACTTATCTGACTGTTCCCTTTCTTTTCCCAGTCTCTCAAGATCTTACCATTTCTAATTCAAAGGGAAATGCCAAATCTATGTGATCTGTCTGGAAATATATCTGCCATTAATATCAGTTGATTCAGTTAGAATTTTCAAAACCAAATTTAGTACCATCTAATAAAAATTAGAAATGGCATCCCTTCCCATCCTCTTGGATCTTATCTGACACGCCATTGGTACGAAGTCTGTAAAAGAAGATTTGGCATCAGAAACGCAAATCTACCTCTCTTAACATTACCAAAATCCACTTATCTATAGGGCTTCATTTATCTTATTACTCACAAAATCTTCTTGCCAAATATGACGGAAGAACTATCAAACATTGTTACTGGCATATTAGATAGCAAATAAATCACGTTGTGTTTAAGGATGCAGTTGAGAGTTATGAACAGTAGATGTCAGGATTGTTCCACATCTAAAGAACTTTTTTAAAAAAAAAAGATAGAATCCAAAA